AATATCCCCCTCACACCATCAATAGCCCCCCTCATTCCATCAATATCCCCCTCACACCATCAATACCACCCTCACACCATCAATACCACCCTCACTGCATCAATATCCCCCTCACACCATCAATAGCCCCCTCACACCACATCACACATCCCTCTCACACCATCAATAGCTCCCTCACACCCATCAATAGCCCCTCACTGCATCAGACACACTTCACACCATCATACTCTCACACCATCAATAGCCCCTCACTGCATCAATACTCTATCATCACACCATCGTTACCTCACAATCTAATACATCCCCTCTACTGCATCAATACCCCCATCACAATCTAATAATAGCCCCTCACACCATCAATATCCCCTACACCATCAATATCCCCTACACCATCAATATCCTCTTCACACTATCAATAGCCTCACACCATCAATATCCCCTACACCATCAATATCCTCACACCATCAATATCCTCACACCATCAATATCCCCCTCACACCATCAATACCCCCCTCAATGCATCAATATCCCCCCTCACTCAATCAATACCCCCCTCACACCATCAATACCCCCTTCCTTTAGCTCACTGACACACACACACTACACAGAATATAAACCCTACCTGGCACTGGAGGCAGTGGGAGATGACATTTTCTCTGGGAGGCCAGGCCTCTTCCTGCAGCAAGTTCCCCTGCTTGAGTGTGGGAGGTGGAGCTTCCAAACAGAGGCGGAGCTTCCATTCGGGGGCGGAGCTAACATGCTGGGCCGCGGATTAAGTGCTGCTGGGAATCAGGAAGGGAGACTCAGTGTTCCCTCCAGCCGCCAGCAGCCTTAATGTGGCCGCACCAGCCTCATAAATTCTGTGACAGCTTCTGTCACTAAGAGGGAAAAATTATTTAAATAGTACATTAGGGCTTCCTGCCGGCCCCAGGTGCCGCAGCCCACCGGGAAAATTCCCGGTATCCCGGTGGGCCAGTCCGGCCCTGCATGTGTTCGAGATTATAACATTCTGAAATAGACTATGTAGTTTTGTTTTGCTTTAACTATGAAGTATCATTATTGTACCATTGATCATCTTCTATAATTTGTATCATAAAGTGTTATTTATATATCACATGCTCTTCTGTTTTCCGATAATCGTGGACGAAAAGGTTCCGAACATATATTTTGTTCGGTTTTCACTTTAAAAGTTGTCAGCGAACAGTACCAGTAAAGTTTATTTGCGTTCCAGGCTGGATGTTTGGGCATGCGCAGTGAGACGGTCGAGTGTAATTATACGTATTGCGTCCCATCCGTCTCCCACGCATGCACACTCAGACCGAGAAAACGCGCGAAATTTATATATAAAAAGATGACCGGAATACATAGGAGTATTAAGCTCATGAAAAAGTCGATAAAGACGAAACGCGTCGAGCGGAAGCTGTTCCCAAAGGAGTGATTTAGCCCTTACCTCCCCTACTGAACGCTTTATGGACCTTCCTATGAAAACTTGATATCTCGACATCTGAGGAAGCAATATTGTTGTAACCAAGAGGTACCAAAGGCTGCACCAGGGAACGTAGCCCATTTAGTGGCTTATAAGCTATTTTGCACAATTTAGGAGTACTTCTAATTGTGCCATTTTTTTTGTGAGTATGATTTGAACTTTTTTATAATATCATTGTTGTTAATAAATTACTATACTATGATTATATATTTTTCTTTTTCTCCCATTTATATGCATAAATCATCCGAGTGGTAAATATTGTCACACCTGTGTGATTGTGGTGCACTATTCTTTATATATATATATATACTGTGTGATTATATACTGTATACTTTAGTACTAAAAATCAGACACTCTATATAACATGGAGAGACGGTTCTAAAAATCAGACACCCTATAAAACAAACCCAAGTACGAGGAGAGACCGCTATAAAAATCAGACAAAGGAAATGAAACCAACAAGTTCCCCAATATAATGCGGTTGTCCTCTAAATCCCCACCATACACCAGGGCCAGGTTTACTGCTGGACAGGAGGTGTAGCAGTGAGGGCTCAGAAATCAGCAAGTAATGGAGAAGAGGTCTCACCTTCTGGTCACGGTGGATGACATTTCCCGAGTGAATAAATTTGGTGGCTTTGAGGAGCTGGTACAAGATGTATCGCATGTGGATGTCCTTTAGAAGGTTTCCTTTCTTAATTACAGCATGAAGGTCTGTCTCTGAAACACGGACATTAACATCACAATATAACACATAGTCTGTAACACAGTAAGGGGAAGGAGGTGGAAGTACACACACTGAGCGGCACACTGAACTGTACATTAATCTTCAGTCGTGGGGGGCTTAATCAGGATACATATTGTATTACATACACCTAACCCATGTACTCAGACACCAGAAAACCACATACACCTTACCCATGTACTCAGACACCAGGAAACCACATACACCTTACCCATGTAGTCAGACACCAGGTAACCACATACACCTTACCCATGTACTCAGATACCAGGTAACCACATACACCTTACCAATGTACTCAGATACCAGTTAACCACATACACCTTACCCATGTAGTCAGACACCAGGTAACCACATACACCTTACCCAGGTACTCAGACACCAGGTAACCACGTACACCTTACCCATGTAGTCAGACACCAGGTAACCACGTACACCTTACCCAGGTACTCAGATACCATGTAACCACATACACCTTACCCATGTAGTCAGACACCAGGTAAGCACATACACCTTACCCATGTAGTCAGACACCAGGTAACCACATACACCTTACCCATGTAGTCAGACACCAGGTAACCACATACACCTTACCCAGGTACTCAGACACCAGGTAACCACGTACACCTTACCCAGGTACTCAGACACCAGGTAACCACGTACACCTTACCCATGTAGTCAGACACCAGGTGACCACATACACCTTACCCATGTAGTCAGACACCAGGTGACCACATACACCTTACCCATGTACTCAGACACCAGGTAACCACATACACCTTACCCAGGTACTCAGACACCAGGTAACCACATACACCTTACCCAAGTACTCAGACACCAGGTAACCACGTACACCTTACCCAGGTACTCAGACACCAGGTTACCACGTACACCTTACCCAAGTACTCAGACACCAGGTAACCACATACACCTTACCCAAGTACTCAGACACCAGGTAACCACATACACCTTACCCAGGTACTCAGACACCAGGTTACCACGTACACCACCCAGGTACTCAGACACCAGGTAACCACATACACCTTACCCATGTAGTCAGACACCATGTAACCACATACACCTTACCCATTTCGTCAGACACCAGGTAACCACATACACCTTAGCCATGTACAGACACCAGGTAACCACATACACCTTACCCATGTAGTCAGACACCAGGTAACCACATACACCTTACCCATGTAGTCAGACACCAGGTAACCACGTACACCTTACCAATGTACTCAGACACCAGGTAACCACATACACCTTACCCATGTAGTCAGACACCAGGTAACGACATACACCTTACCCATGTACTCAGTCACCAGGTAACCACATACACCTTACCCATGTAGTCAGACACCAGGTAACCACATACACCTTACCCATGTAGTCAGACACCAGGTAACCACATACACCTTACCCAGGTACTCAGACACCAGTTAACCACATACACCTTACCCATGTAGTCAGACACCAGGTAACGACATACACCTTACCAATGTACTCAGACACCAGGTAACCACATACACCTTACCCAGGTACTCAGACACCAGGTAACCACATACACCTTACCCATGTAGTCAGACACCAGGTAACCACATACACCTTACCCAGGTCAGACACCACATACACCTTACCCATGTAGTCAGACACCAGGTAACCACGTACACCTTACCCAGGTACTCAGATACCATGTAACCACATACACCTTACCCATGTAGTCAGACACCAGGTAACCACATACACCTTACCCATGTACTCAGACACCAGGTAACCACGTACACCTTACCCAGGTACTCAGACACCAGGTTACCACGTACACCTTACCCAAGTACTCAGACACCAGGTAACCACATACACCTTACCCAAGTACTCAGACACCAGGTAACCACATACACCTTACCCAGGTACTCAGACACCAGGTTACCACGTACACCTTACCCAGGTACTCAGACACCAGGTAACCACATACACCTTACCCATGTAGTCAGACACCATGTAACCACATACACCTTACCCATTTCGTCAGACACCAGGTAACCACATACACCTTAGCCATGTACTCAGACACCAGGTAACCACATACACCTTACCCATGTAGTCAGACACCAGGTAACCACATACACCTTACCCATGTAGTCAGACACCAGGTAACCACGTACACCTTACCCACCCATGTAGTCCAGACACCAGGTAACCACAGCACACCTTACCCAGGTACTCCAGACACCAGGCCAACCACATACACCTTACCCATGTAGTCAGACGCAGGTAACCACCTTACCTTACCCGGTACTCAGACACCAGGTAACCACATACACTGCCCCATGTACTCAGACACCAGGTAACCACATACACCTTACCCGGAATTGCTCCAGGCACCAGGTAACGACATACACCTTACCCATGTACTCAGTCACCAGGTAACCACATACACCTTACCCATGTAGTCAGACACCAGGTAACCACATACACCTTACCCATGTAGTCAGACACCAGGTAACCACATACACCTTACCCAGGTACTCAGACACCAGTTAACCACATACACCTTACCCATGTAGTCAGACACCAGGTAACGACATACACCTTACCAATGTACTCAGACACCAGGTAACCACATACACCTTACCCAGGTACTCAGACACCAGGTAACCACATACACCTTACCCATGTAGTCAGACACCAGGTAACCACATACACCTTACCCATGTAGTCAGACACCAGGTAACCACATACACCTTACCCATGTAGTCAGACACCAGGTAACCACATACACCTTACCCAGGTACTCAGATACCAGGTAACCACATACACCTTACCCATGTACTCAGACACCAGGTAACCACATACACCTTACCCAATGTACTCAGACACCAGGTAACCACATACACCTTACCCAGGTACTCAGACACCAGGTTACCACGTACACCTTACCCAGGTACTCAGACACCAGGTAACCACATACACCTTACCCATGTAGTCAGACACCAGGTAACCACATACACCTTACCCATGTAGTCAGACACCAGGTAACCACATACACCTTACCCATGTAGTCAGACACCAGGTAACCACATACACCTTACCCATGTACTCAGACACCAGGTAACCACATACACCTTACCCATGTACTCAGACACCAGGTAACCACATACACCTTACCCAGGTACTCAGGCACCAGGTAACCACATACACCTTACCCATGTAGTCAGACACCAGGTAACCACATATACCTTACCCATGTAGTCAGACACCAGGTAACCACATACACCTTACCCAGGTACTCAGACACCAGGTAACCACATACACCTTACCCATGTAGTCAGACACCAGGTAACCACATACACCTTACCCATGTAGTCAGACACCAGGTAACCACATACACCTTACCCATGTAGTCAGACACCAGGTAACCACATACACCTTACCCAGGTACTCAGACACCAGGTAACCACATACACCTTACCCATGTAGTCAGACACCAGGTAACCACATACACCTTACCCATGTAGTCAGACACCAGGTAACCACATACACCTTACCCAGGTACTCAGATACCAGGTAACCACATACACCTTACCCAGGTACTCAGACACCAGGTAACCACATACACCTTACCCAGGTACTCAGATACCAGGTAACCACATACACCTTACCCAGGTACTCAGATACCAGGTAACCACATACACCTTACCCAGGTACTCAGATACCAGGTAACCACATACACCTTACCCAGGTACTCAGATACCAGGTAACCACATACACCTTACCCATGTACTCAAAGACCAGGTAAATGTCTTTATCATTCTGAGCTCGGATCACATTTAGCAGTTTGATAATGTTCGGATGTTCACCAAATTCCTGCAGGAAATAAAAACAAAAGACAGTTATTTAATTTGATAACTGAAAAGCATAAGGAGCTTACAAGAAGAGCTCTGTGTGACAGTCTGAGGAGCTTATAGGAAGAGCTCTATGTGACAGTCTGAGGACTGAGGAGCTTACAGAATAAGTAGAATAAGGTAGAGATAATGTAGATAAACATGCTTTAAAGAAAATTAATTGTGTCTTTTACCTGCAAGAACATGATTTCCCGAAATGTTCTCTGCAAAGCAAGACAAGATGTTAGTGCAAAGAACAGCAGACTGTCCCTTTAAAAAAAATACACACAACAATTTGTAAATCCCCATTACTGTCAGGCATACAGATTACTGAATGGTGTACATATCACAAATGGACTGGTAGTGTTCTAGATGATTTACTGCAAACCAATTAGTTTGAATGACTATCTGTTCCTGTCCAAATTAAAGATAATAAAGTTGCGTGCACGCAGAAGTAAATTCACACTGAGACACAAGGTTCAGGGTAATGAAAGAACTTCAGAGAAGTTTAATGGCTTCTGACAGAAAATGGGTGCGCAGACCCTTTATAAAGGCATTATTACATCATTGAAGAAAATCAAGATACAGCAAATAGACACTATTGATTGGTCCAGGTGTTAAGTGGTTAGTTAGGTACCCTCCTATCAAGAGGTGATGTCATCCTTGACACGGGAGTGGACACAAGATGTAGGCGCCATCTTGTTAAAATGAGGAGCTCACTCGACGGGAGGGGCCTTTTGGCAGCTATCCATTTGGAGCGTAGCTGGCACTTGTTAGTTTCTCAAGGTTAAGTTTCAAGGATTTTAGTAAATACACATTTTATCAAAGCTATTTCTTGCTGACATGCAAATTCTATGTTCTATAGACAAAGCTTCCTTGTAAAACTATGGGGGCCTCTTAGAGGTATAGCAAGAGGATTTAAAGGGGCCTTACAAATTTATAGAGGCCTAATAATTCTACAACAGTCCCCCCTAAAATGTTATTTGCTAAAAGACAAAACTTTATTTGTTAGTATCAGAAGAAGTATTAGCCCAAAGACACAGAAACCCCATGACCGCTGACTTAGTGTTAATGCAAAGTGCAAGTCTATCCCTCTCTTGACCCTAACAGGCTGCAGCACATCCGTCAGTACGGTTCAGGAACACTCTTCACTCCGCTGGTAACCCATAGTGGCTTATCCACTACTTCTCCGTACGGCAGTCTACCCATAAAGACGGACGCTGTCCCTGTACTGTCCCTTCCTAGACTTTCTGCACTTCATCAGTATAAGGGAGAGTTTGTAGCGGAATACAGGGTGAGATGAGGTCTTGATCATCGATTGTCAGATGAGTGAAGGTTGGTGTTGCTTGGTCTACAGTTTTCTGCAGGAATTTCCTTAGGCATGGGAGGACACAACAAATGAGAAGAGCGAGAATAAAAAGAAAAATTAGTAAGGCAATACCAATCTGGACTAAAGCTCTCTGCCAACCAGTCATCCAACCAAACCATTTTTCCCAGGGATCAGTAACTCCAGAGTTTCTCTTTAACTCTTCTGAGAGTCTATTTAATTTAGCTATGGCTAGAGTGACTTTACCATTAGGACCTGTGTTTTCTGGAATGTAAGTGCAACAAGTCATAGTGTCGGGAAGTATTTTACAGACTCCCCTTTTTCGGCTAAGATCATGTCTAAGGCCAGTCTGTTCTGGAAGGTCATTTGGGATGTGGCCTGTAATTGCTCGGCCAAGCCCTGGAGGGCATCCCTGGTGTAGTTCACGAAGCGCTGTTGGTTGTAATAGATATAATTAATCCAATTAAGGTTTTTGTTGGCAGTGACTATGGTAAAAAGTGATTCAAAACCTGCAGCTACTTCATCTCTAGCTTTAAATTCATTAGGTACCCCCCTAGGCACCCCAATGGCATCTATGTAAATGTGGGGGTCAAAACTGCCTTTTACTGGGGTTTCGCGCCTTACTCTGGCTGATGTATGTGGAGGGTCGTATGTGTCATGATGATTATCAGAAATAATATGAATGGGCATGATAACTTTGGCCAGGGTACACTCACCCCACCACTCAGTTTCCAGCCTAGATCTTAACTGTAGATCCCCACATAACCAGTAAATATCTCCCAATGACCTGGTATGGTGTTGCAACAGGCGTATAGGAACAGTTCTGTAAGTGGCGCAATAACCTTTAGAAAAGTTACCCATGAATTTACCAATCCCGTCATACATGGCATAACAAGTGTAATTACCTCTATAGACTGTGACTCCATCTGGTGGCTTAACATTTTCAACTAAGAGAGGGTATTCTGCCGTCCATGCCATGCAGAGGGACCTATTAAAGTCATATTGGTAGGCAAAAAGGCTTAAGAAGCAATCTTCTATCTCTAAAGGGAGAGTTAGGGGGACGGTGCCAAGGTGGGGTCGGGCACCGCCACATACATAACATGCTGTTTTATTATGTTTGTTAGCATTATACCTCATCCATTCTAACCACAAATTAATGTCATTGAATCCAGTTTCAGCGGCCATGGTATCTTCAAAAGTGGGGTTAGCGATGGCCATCATATCTTTAAAGGACTGGATATGTGGTTTTAGCGGATTTGGGACCATATGATCAGCCCCTTGCCACTCTGGAGAGTGGTACATATCTCTGAGGTAGAAATGACCTAATTTGTTGTAGGAACCTTTCTTCCAATACATTCCCATTACATATCGGTCTGCATCCTCGGGGCCAGGATGTTCAATATTTAACATTAATTTCATAGGGGTACTTCCTCCAGGCTTTCTTAAAGTCATTCTTTGAAGGAGGGATCTACCCTGATTGTCTATCTTAGATAAAGCACTTTTGGGTTTATAACCCCAGGCAGGCCCAGTATTCCATCCCGCAGCCCCCCAGTAGTTACAGTCACAACCCCATTGTTCATCTACTGCACAAACGTAAGGGTCTTTTGCTTGTGGTATATCTTTATAAATGGCTTGAATCTGTGACTTAGGGAATGGGCACTCTACAATATCACAGTAATCAAAAGTGAATGTAGCCACATGGGTACATGATGAATTATACCAGAAGGTGTACCCACTAGCATCTTTGGTGATGGCCACCTGCTGGGCTTTAAGGAGGCCAACTAAGGAGATAATGTACCAGAGGCACATGGTTGCATAGAGTTAGCTTCCTCTGGGGCAGGTGTCTTCTTGCAATGGGAAGCGTGGATCCAGTTAGGCCTTCCGGCCAATTTGACAGAGGTAGGGGAGATCAGGAGAACTTGGAACGGTCCGTCAAATCTTGGTTCCAGGGTGTGTTTTCGCACAAATTTCTTGACCAGAACCCAGTCACCGGGGAGCAGACTGTGGTTGCCTGTGTCAGAATCAGGATCTGGAATTTTAGAGAAAACTTGGACATGGATTTTGTTCAAAGCATTTGCGAGTTCAGTTACATAATCTACTAAAACATCAGTTTGAAGTTGTAGTTGTTGGGGAAAATAGCAACCTAGCCTAGGTGCAGTCCCAAATAGAATCTCGTATGGGGACAATGAGGTAGTATTTTTGTACAAGAGCATTCATTAGATCTTTTGATAAATGTGCAGGTCTGTGTGCCCATTGTACGACTGCTGGGTACAAATTCTTAGGGAGGCAGAAATTGAGGTTGTTGGAGTACACTCCATCCTTCAGAACTGCCCCTTTCTGTTTCCACTTCTGTATTTCTTCAGGGGCAACTGTAGCCTGTTGTTCCCGCAGGATTTTCAGGTCAGTTGGAAGAGTCTGCAGAGTAAATATGGGAGTTTCTTCATTTCCGGACACTCTTCTTTCCACTTCCTGTGGTTCTTTTGCAGCTTGTTTTGCAGCCTGATCAGCTAGATGGTTGCCCTTTGCTTCATCTGAGTCCAACTTCCCATGTGCTTTTATCTTCAAAATAGCCACTTCTTCTGGGAGTAGGAGGGCGTCCATCAGCTCCTTGATTGCGGAACCGTGCTTGATTGGTGTACCGGTGGTGGTAAGAAATCCTCTTGTTTTCCAAATTAATCCGAAGTCGTGAGCCACGCCCAGTGCATATCTTGAATCCGTGTAGATATTGGCGCGCTTTCCTTCAGAGATCTTGCATGCTGAAGTCAGGGCTTGCAATTCAGCTTCTTGTGCAGACATAGTTGATGGTAAAGATGATGATTTGACAATTTCATCTGTTGTGGTTACGGCATATCCTGTATGGTATCTTCCTTCTTCATCAGCATATCTTGAGCCGTCCACAAACAGGGTGAGATCGGGATCTACCAATGGGTCTTCATGTACAGTTGGTAGATGTGTTGTTTCCATTTTCATCTGTTCAAAACAGTCATGAGGTGTATCTGGGTCGTATTCATTCACTATGGTTAAATCTTGGAACTTATTTTCCAGGAAATGACGTGGCCATGCTTTTAGGGTCAGTTGTTGGATATTTGACAACACCATTTTCCTGTAGCTGTGATTCGTCCATAGTGGCCCATGCTTTTGCCATAGGCCCAAGATCATTCCATGATATTGTTTTCAACTTGGTCACAGGGACATGTGGAATGGCAGTGTCCCAATGACGGTACAAATGCTTGAGTTCCGGAGGTAGATGAATCAAGACCATACTGTTGCCTTCAGAATCACAGTAGAAGTCTTGTGCAGTGAGTTTTACTTCAACCAGCTTATAGAGTTCATCTTCATAGCAGGGTTCAGGAGTGATGTTTGGTTTGTACCACATGGTACAGAAGGCATATCCTGCTCCGTCATGAAGGAGTGCTTGTCCATCATGAAAGGATAGGTTGGGATGCATTTCCTTCTTGATGGTGCCAGTGAGAAGAAAAACATAAGTTTCGTCCATGATGAATCCGTAGTATACACCCCCCTCAGGGAGTGGCAGAAGAGTGGACGGATTGAGAACTTGACATCTTTGGAGGGTAATGTTGTCAGGCAACAAAAGATGACATTGAAGGCGAAGATGCCTAGCAGGAGTAACATGCTTAAGTTGGACCTGGTTGACTATGGCAGAAATGTCATGAGGGGCCAAGACAACCAGGGGGTGGCCAAGGACAAGATCCCCAGTTCTTTCAATGAGCTCTCTGGCAGCAAAGACGGCCCGAAGGCAAGAGGGACGTCCTCTGGCCACAATATCCAGTTGGCAGGAGAAAAATCCAATAGGCCTTTGGCGGCCTCCAGGACCATGAGCCTGAGTGAGTACTCCTGTTGCATGGCCTTGTCTTTCAGAAACAAACAATTTGAAGGGTTTGGTATAGTCTGGTAGGCCAAGAGCAGGAGCAGAAGCAATAGCACGTTTGAGAGAACAGAAGTTGTCAAGGGCTTCTGTGGACAAGCAAAATGGGTCTGACTTGAGAGCATCATAAAGAGGTTGCATAAGGAGCGAGGCTTCTGGGATCCATGCTCGGCAATAGGAAATGAGGCCTAGGAAGGCGTGTAGTGACTTTGAGATCCTTGGAGGTGGAATGTCCAGTACTGCTCTAACTCGGTCACGAGTGAGATGTCTGGTTCCCTGAGACAGACAATGGCCAAGGAAGATAACAGTAGATTGGCAATATTGCAGCTTGGGACGTGAAGCTTTACATCCTTGTTCTGCTAGGTAGCAAAGAAGATTAATTGAGCATTGTTCTGTTGTGGGTAGATCATCTCCACAGTAAAATGGGAAGGGAACAAAGAACTGTAGTGTCTTTTCGTGGCAAAGGCGTATTTAATTGAACCTGGCCGTCTGCAGTGAGGGTGATGGATGCTTGGAGGCAGGATAGGACATCAGCACCAACACAAGAGACATCGGTGTCAGGCAGGAACGATGAGTCAGGCAGGTCTTGTTCTCTAGGAACACTGCGGGATGCACCTGTGTTAACCAGGAAACCAGGAAAGCAGTAGGGTGACCTTCAATAGGTAAAGTTACAGTGGCTAGTGGCCCCCCTTGTTCCCTGTAGACACTGCCATGGCAGGGGCATTAAGCATCAGCGGGTTTGCTCTCCTCTGTATGGGCTGTGTTACTGACTCAAACCCCTTTCTATGTCATTAGCCATAGCTTTTTGCAGTCTGAACATGTCTATCATTATAAATAATGGTTAATAGTAAGTTAAGTAAAGTTCCTATATGTCTTTGGATAAAACATTAACTATTGCGGTACTATCATTTATATTAATTAGACTATAACAATTATACCACCCTGTAACTAAGTAAACAACCAGTAGTGGCTGGGTTAATAAAACATGCCACAAACCCTTCTAATGCTAAACCATCATTTAAAGTAAAGGATGTTACTGTAAACATAAGATCTGTAACTAGCAAGATTCGATTAAGTAAAGATACAATGTTTAAAATAACTTGCATTATTTAGCTATTTCCCTTGTTGCAAGATGAAGCTGGATAATCAGCTGTTATGCTCTTATATTCGTGTCCAACAGATCTCATTTGTAGGTCACACCACAGTTGCAAATTACATTTTAGCAACCTTCTTTTTTTTTTTTTTTTATATCACGGACAAATTGTTGATACAGGGAAACAAATGGCATGATTGTTCCAGTAATTATCTAAATGGGACGAGCATAATAGGGGTAGGCCTCATGATGGAGGCAGCCATGACAGGGGCGGGGAAGGAAATGACAGCAAGGGAGGAAGTGAGATGACGTCCATGATAGGTGTGGGAAAGGAAGACAGGAGGTGTGGGCATGGTAAGGGCGGAAGTGACGTCACCTTCAACAATACACTATATTATAACTATTAAAATAAGTCAGAGAAGCAACATTCCGTTCTGCAAAATGAAATACTAAACTATGAACAGACCTGGCAGGTTAAATAAGACAGTTGAGAACATTATGCATTTAACAGCCCATACAGCTGTTTCTAGAAACATGTACTTTAAAATAACTTTAAAATAATAAAATGATGCAAAATAAACTCGCGGAATTCAACCAAATTCCCTTATCTTCCTCAAACCATTAATCACTTTCCTCCTCTTATACTGACTTAACAACATCGCATATTCCCTCTACACCTTCCTAAATCCCGTATTCAACACTGAATGCAATCTTGTGAGCTCGTCACTCCCACAATCCTCAGTACCTTATACTCTTATCAGTAGCTTCTGAATAACTCTACAGAACACCGAAGAGACAGACCTAAATCGCAAGCATGTCACCACCTCCCCCCCCCCCGCGTCTCACAGAAGCGAGGGGAGGGGGGGGTGTTTTAGCAGAGGGGGATTTGAGTGGAACAAGAGAGAGACTGCCTGCCAGCACGAATTTAACCATGTCAACGCTGTACAGTAACAAGACAGAAGGACAATTACATTACAAAGCAAAGAGACACAAAAACACAACATTTCATTTATACCCCCACCCTCTACCAGGGTAATGGCTAACACAAAATACAAAAACCCCACAGCGTTTTAAGATTGGGGTGGGATGGTGACCATGGTCAGCTACATTTCGGTCATTACTGACAGGATGATGGAAGTGGTCACCTCCTGGACAGGGCACTGCTGGGATAACTTCCCAGTAACACAATTATTATGATATACATACAATCTTAAACCTTTGTGATCAATATCTTCCTCAACCTATCCCTTTTGCTGAATAGCTCTTGCTACTCGGTACCAGGCTTCTGCTGTACAAACCAAATCTTGGTCCGACAGCTTCCCTTTCTTCTGTCAGTAACTTACGCCAGCTCTCTGGCTACAATCTGCCGCACAGAGGTACGGTAATTCCACATACTTTAGCAATCTTACTCACTTTCTTAACCATCTCTTCTCCTTCTCTGTCTTCCACTAGATCACATGCTAACCAACCCTTACTGGGTTTATCTAACTTCTGTCCCATCCTCCCTATATAAGGCGTCCCAGATATAGAGAGAGAAAGGAACAGAACGTCTACCGTGCTCGACTGCTACTTTAAGAGCAAGCTCTTTAAGTACGTCTTCCCAAAACGTAGACTAGTCACTGATTCCGCCTACCCGTGGTAGCCGCGGATTGGAGCGTGGCGAGAAGTGTGTGACCAATCACTTCTCTCAACAAAGAGAAAGAGAAATAGGAGGGGAAAGTGTAAATAGTACAGTGAGTAAGATAGAAGTAAACACAGGAATCTGTGTGACAGACAATTAAGACAATAACATTTCAGTGTAAATACAGTGCATGCATCACAGTTCAAATAAGTTCAACAGTGTTATCCCTTGCCTTTACTCGTGTGGCCAAAAGCCACCTCCCTCAACCTCGTAGTGTCCCTGTTGCGGACCCACCCGCAAGTCTCACTACCAGCAGCCACAGGAAACAGCAACAGCTTCCAACCCGAATCCTGTATAGCCTAAAGAATTGGAATCTTACCTGTCTCAGCGCTTGAGACTGGAATTTTACCAAGAAGAAGTGTCTGATGAGGCTAGCTAAGCGGTCAAAATGACACTCTGGGGATCCCCAGGAAGCAGTGAGTCTACTGCCCTCCACAGATCCCCCCTACTCTTTTTCCTTACAGCCACAGCCACGTGGCTCCTAAAAGAGTTAAACAGGCAATAGAGGACCCCCAGGAAAACTTCCACAGGTCCACCCCCCTTTTTCCTTACTACCACAGGTATGTGGTACCTAAAAGGGGTTAAACAGGCACTTACACTCCCCGGGTACTAAGTTAAACACATACCAATACAAACACACCCAGGCAACAGATAGTCAACATGCAGGTAAACTAGGTATCATTAACAATACAAAGACTCTGGGCAAGTTATTACCTGACTTTGATGTCCTCTCGGCAGCAGTCACAGACACTGGGGCAGGTCAATCACAGGGGTAGGAACATACCGGCTAGGTGCTGCAGCAATCTCTACCGTGTATTCAGAGGTGATCAGGCTCTTTTCCTTCCCCCAGGATTCAGCCCCCCCAGCGTCTTCTTGGACAGCTGCCCAGACTGGACATAGCCCAGAGCCCCACGTTGGGCGCCAATTGTTCTAGATGATTTACTGCAAACCAATTAGTTTGAATGACTATCTGTTCCTGTCCAAATTAAAGATAATAAAGTTGCGTGCACGCAGAAGTAAATTCACACTGAGACACAAGGTTCAGGGTAATGAAAGAACTTCAGAGAAGTTTAATGGCTTCTGACAGAAAATGGGTGCGCAGACCCTTATAAAGGCATTATTACATCATTGAAGAAAATCAAGATATAGACAAATAGACATTGTTAATTGGCTTAGGTGCTAAGATGTTAGTAAAATGCCCTCCCCATTCTTAGGTCACTATCTACGTAATTTCTTAACTCCTACAGGTTTTAGCGCCATCTTGTTAAAATGAGGAGCTCACTCGACGGGAGGGGCCTTTTGGCAGCTATCCATTTGGAGCGTAGCTGGCACTTGTTAGTTTCTCAAGGTTAAGTTTCAAGGATTTTAGTAAATACACATTTTATCAAAGCTATTTCTTGCTGACATGCAAATTCTATGTTCTATAGACAAAGCTTCCTTGTAAAACTATGGGGGCCTCTTAGAGGTATAGCAAGAGGATTTAAAGGGGCCTTACAAATTTATAGAGGCCTAATAATTCTACAACAGTAGAACACCCATTCCTGACTTGTGTCTGTCTTCTGTCACCTAGTTTGTATAAAAGCTCTGAAAATGCTCCATTTTAAGGTGGAACTGTAATTTCCCAGGATTCATAGCACTGTTTCCCTGTCCCCTATATTTAACAAATATGTGCTGGAAAGATGTGAAAAATATAATTAACTGGGTGCCTCCATTTTGTCCCCCTATCAATCATTGTTATAAGCTCCGCCCTTTACACCTGGCAGTCAGCATAGAGAGAGCCACCTCCATCTTAGCTCCCTGTCAATCATTGTTATAAGCTCCGCCCTTTACACCTGGCAGTCAGTATAGAGAGAGCCACCTCCATCTTAGCTCCCTGTCAATCATTGTTATAAGCTCCGCCCTTTACACCTGGCAGTCAGTATAGAGAGAGCCGCCTCCATCTTAGCTCCCTGTCAATCATTGTTATAAGCTCCGCCCTTTACACCTGGCAGTCAGTATAGAGAGAGCAGCCTCCATCTTAGCTCCCTGTCAATCATTGTTATAAGCTCCGCCCTTTACACCTGGCAGTCAGTATAGAGAGAGCCACCTCCATCTTAGCTCCCTGTCAATCATTGTTATAAGCTCCGCCTTTTACACCTGGCAGTCAGTATAGAGAGAGCCACCTCCATCTTAGCTCCCTGTCAATCATTGTTATAAACTCCGCCCTTTACACCTGGCAGTCAGTATAGAGAGCCGCCTCACACTATACGCTCGTCACACTGTACGATGCACTCTATTACACAGCCAGGTGTCACACTGTACGATGCACTCTATTACACAGCCAGGTGTCTCACTGTACGATGCACTCTATTACACAGCCGGGTGTCACACTGTACGATGCATTCTATTACACAGCCAGGTGTCACACTGTACGATGCACTCTATTACACAGCCAGGTGTCACACTGTACGATGCACTCTATTACACGGCCAGGTGTCACACTGTACGATGCACTCTATTACACAGCCAGGTGTCTCACTGTACGATGCACTCTATTACACAGCCAGGTGTCACACTGTACGATGCACTCTATTACACAGCCAGGTGTCACACTGTACGATGCACTCTATTACACAGCCAGGTGTCTCACTGTACGATGCATTCTATTACACAGCCAGGTGTCACACTGTACGATGCACTCTATTACACAGCCGGGTGTCACACTGTACGATGCACTCTATTACACAGCCAGGTGTCACACTGTACGATGCACTCTATTACACAGCCAGGTGTCACACTGTACGATGCACTCTATTACACAGCCAGGTGTCACACTGTACGATGCACTCTATTACACAGCCAGGTGTCACACTGTACGATGCACTCTATTACACAGCCAGGTGTCACACTGTACGATGCACTCTATTACACAGCCAGGTGTCACACTGTACGATGCACTCTATTACACAGCCAGGTGTCACACTGTACGATGCACTCTATTACACAGCCGGGTGTCACACTGTACGATGCACTCTATTACACAGCCAGGTGTCTCACTGTACGATGCATTCTATTACACAGCCGGGTGTCACACTGTACGATGCACTCTATTACACAGCCGGGTGTCACACTGTACGATGCACTCTATTACACAGCCAGGTGTCACACTGTACGATGCACTCTATTACACAGCCGGGTGTCACACTGTACGATGCACTCTATTACACAGCCAGGTGTCACACTGTACGATGCACTCTATTACACAGCCGGGTGTCACACTGTACGATGCATTCTATTACACAGCCAGGTGTCACACTGTACGATGCACTCTGTTACACAGCCGGGTGTCACACTGTACGATGCACTCTATTACACAGCCAGGTGTCACACTGTACGATGCACTCTGTTACACATCCAGGTGTCACACTGTACGATGCACTCTGTTACACAGCCGGGTGTCACACTGTACGATGCACTCTGTTACACAGCCGGGTGTCACACTGTATGATCCACTTTATGATGTATCCCTCTATGCACAATGCTCTGTTACAATGCCCCTCATTGTACTGGAGGGGTACGGTAACAGAGCATTGTGCTGGGAGAGGTTGTGCGGGGAGGGGGTGATGTCAGAAGCAGAGTGGAAGCACTATGGGTAAATGTAGAACTCACCTGAGCATCTGTTCGGTTTCTAAACGCATCAAAGATTTTTTTCACAGCAACAATTTCCCCGGTCTTGCGATCAATGGCTTTCCAAACAATGCCATATGCCTGAGGTTAGAGGGGAAAACATTAAATCAGGAGTCAGATCCTCTCCAAAATCATCGCACTTCTGACAAATCACGGCTTGAACTATCTTGCTTTGCATGTAATGCGTCTATCTCATATATTAGCTTCCCCTTTTACGTTGCATTACTGAAATAAATGAACTTTTGCACGATATTCTAATTTTTCGAGTATCAGCTGTATGTGCAGGGTTTCTGCTTATAATGCTGGATGTACATTGATATCCGGGGCTAGTTACACCAATAAGAACCTGGCTTACAGGTAAGTTTCATTTACAGGGTCCCGCACCAAGCAACAAGTGTTCAATAGGAAACTAAACCGGATTGGAGTAACCCTTTAATATTAGGAAATAAAACAAGTAACAAAAAAAAAACGACAGTAATAAAAATAATGAATAAAGGAAAGGAACGTCAGAACGGATTCATGACAGACAAAAAATCCCTAAAATGGCACAGACTATTCCGTGACAATTTGATAAACCTACCCCACGTTTTCAAAGGCATTCGTTTCCAGGAATGAGGAGTAAATCAGTATATCACAGCAGTCACCTCCTTGCTCCTTCTTTTGAAACCACCTTTCCTTCCCATCACCTTCCAAACCGGGAAACAGTACTGCTGTGAGGAGGCTGGGAATCGTCACTCGCTGAGTCAGGGAACAGAGGAGGCTGGGATCGTCACTCGCTGAGTCAGGGAACAGAGGAGGCTGGGATCGTCACTCGCTGAGTCAGGGAATAGAGGAGGCTGGGATCGTCACTCGCTGAGTCAGGGAACAGAGGAGGCTGGGACTCGCTGAGTCAGGGAATAGAGGAGGCTGGGATCGTCACTCGGTGAGTCAGGGAATAGAGGAGGCTGGGAATCGTCACTCGCTGAGTCAGGGAACAGAGGAGGCTGGGATCGTCACTCGGTGAGTCAGGGAATAGAGGAGGCTGGGATCGTCACTCGCTGTGTCAGGGAATAGAGGAGGCTGGATCGTCATCGTCTCGGTCGCTGTGTCAGGGAATAGAGGAGGCTGGGATCGTCACTCGGTGAGTCAGGGAATAGAGGAGGCTGGGATCGTCACTCGGTGAGTCAGGGAATAGAGGAGGCTGGGATCGTCACTCGCTGTGTCAGAGAATAGAGGAGGCTGGGATCGTCACTCGCTGAGTCAGGGAATAGAGGAGGCTGAGATCGTCACTCGCTGTGTCAGGGAATAGAGGAGGCTGGGATCGTCACTCGGTGAGTCAGGGAATAGAGGAGGCTGGATCGTCACTTTCGCTGGAGTCAGGGGAATAGAGGAGGCTGAGATCGTCACTGGCTAATGTCAGAATAGGAGGCTGGGATGCGTCACTTTCGGTGAGTCAGGGAGGAGGCTGGGATGCGTCATAAGCTGTGTCAGGGAATAGGAGGCTGGGATGCGTCACTTTCTTTGTGTCAGGGAATAGAGGAGGCTGGGATGCGTCCTTTCGGTGAATCCAGGGAATAGAGCTGGGATCGTCACTTTCGCTGAGTCAGGGAATAGAGGAGGCTGAGACGTCACTGGCTGAGTCAGGGAATAGGAGGCTGGGGCGTCACCAGCTGAATGAGGAACAGAGGCTGGGGTCGTCTCGCTGAGTCAGGGAATAGAGGAGGCTGGGATCGTCACTCGCTGAGTCAGGGAATAGAGGAGGCTGGGATCGTCACTCGCTGTGTCAGGGAATAGAGGCAGCTGGGATCGTCACTCGGTGAGTCAGGGAATAGAGGAGGCTGGGATCGTCACTCGCTGTGTCAGGGAATAGAGGAGGCTGGGATCGTCACTCGCTGAGCCAGGGAATAGAGGAGGCTGGGATCGTCACTCGCTGAGTCAGGGAATAGAGGAGGCTGGGATCGTCACTCGCTGAGTCAGGGAATAGAGGAGGCTGGGATCGTCACTCCCTGTGTCAGGGAATAGAGGCAGCTGGGATCGTCACTCGATGAGTCAGGGAATAGAGGAGGCTGGGATCGTCACTCGCTGTGTCAGGGAATAGAGGAGGCTGGGAGCGTCACTCGCTGAGTCAGGGAATAGAGGAGGCTGGGATCGTCACTCGGTGAGTCAGGGAATAGAGGAGGCTGGGATCGTCACTCGCTGTGTCAGGTATTAGAGGAGGCTGGGATCGTCACTCGCTGAGTCAGGGAATAGAGGCAGCTGGTATTGTCACTCGCGGAGTCAGGGAATAGAGGAGGCTGGGATCGTCACTCGCTGAGTCAGGGAATAGAGGCAGCTGGGATCGTCACTCGCTGAGTCAGGGAATAGAGGAGGCTGGGATCGTCACTCGCTGTGTCAGGGAATAGAGGAGGCTGGGATCGTCACTCGGTGAGTCAGGGAATAGAGGAGGCTGGGATCGTCACTCGCTGTGTAAGGGAATAGAGGAGGCTAGGATCGTCACTCGCTGTGTAAGGGAATAGAGGAGGCTAGGATCGTCACTCGCTTAGTCAGGGAATAGAGGGGGCTGGGATCGTCACTCGCTGTGCCAGGGAATAGAGGAGGCTAGGATCGTCACTCGGTGAGTCAGGGAATAGAGGAGGCTGGGATCGTCACTCGCTGTGCCAGGGAATAGAGGAGGCTAGGATCGTCACTCGGTGAGTCAGGGAATAGAGGAGGCTGGGATCGTCACTCGCTGTGTCAGGGAATAGAGGAGGCTGGGAGCGTCGCTCACTGTGACAGGGGATAGATTAGGCATGGCTCACTGTGTCAGGGAATGGAAGAGTCTGGGAGCGTCGCTCGCTGTGTATGGGAATAGAGGAGGCTGGGAGAGTCACTCGCTTTGTATGGGAATAGAGTAGTCTGGGAGAGTCGCTGGCTGTGTACAGAGGAGGCTAGGAGAGTCGCTGGCAGTGTGTGGGAATAGAGGAGGCTAGGAGAGTCACTCGCTGTGTAAAGGTATAGAGGTGTGTGGCTCACTGTGTTAGGGAGTAGAGGAGGCTAGGAGAGCCGCTCGCTGTATAAGGGAATAGAGGAGTCTGGGAGAATCACTCGCTGTGTCAGGGAATAGAGGAGTCTGGGAGAATCGCTCGCTGTGTCAGGGAATAGAGGAGGCTAGGAGAGTCGCTTGCTGTGGCAGGGAATAGAGGAGTGTAACGGATCACCTGGCACCCCGACTGGGTACCTCCGTTGAAGGATGCTCCTAGCGCTTCCTGAGGACTCCAAGCACTGCAGCAGACACCACAACCACCGAACCGGAGAAGCATACGAATGCTCTCAAGCATATGAATGCTGTAAACAGCTGAACAGGAAAACCATACAATCAGCTTACACTCCTGGCAATCCAATTCCCCCAATAACGAGACGACACTTCGTTTTGAGGTCAAGCAGAACTGACTGTCCTATTCACAATCCACAAACATAGTACTGCCCACAGGGTTTTGAAATACAACCAATCAATCTGTACAATACACAGAGACACTCCCACACAAAATCCTCCCCTCTGCCTGTGATATGATTACTGAACACAATGGGTAATATAATTATCACAGGCAGAGAAATACAGTATGTGACGAGAGCAATCTCGCCACATTGCATTGGAGAAGCCTGGTTGCTCGCCTGTTGCCTTTGGATTATGGCCCCATGTTAAAAGGCTTGATTTTCCCCTGCAAAGACAAGAAAGCCGGGTCATTTGGTGCTTGCCCTGTTTGAGCAGTGATACCCCAGATAGCTATGCCATGGAGCCCATTTGTATAATGAAAGACTATGGGAAAGACTTGGCTCCATGGCAATTGAACTGTGTGTGTGTGCTCTGAGCGCCATTCAGTAATAATGTGCGCTCAGACCTAAGCTATCTGGGCATATGTCTGTATTTTATGTCATAAATGTAACCTTGTGTATTTTATTGTATTTTACTGTCTTTTTGCTGCCATGTGTTCAATGGAGTTTTGCCTCTGTCTTTGGAGATAATTGGATTACTTCACAATTATCTCCTGGCTAGAAGACTCTGTGGAACTGGTTTTGGGCAGAAAAGTTTATGTGAATGTGATGCATACTTTTCAAGTTATGAATAATGTGGAAAAATTGTATTTCTCTGCTTGTGCTAAATTACATTACCCATTGTGTAAGGTAATTGAATCACATGCAGAGGGGAGGATTTTGTGTGGGAGTGTCTGAGTGTATTGTATGTGTTTATTGGTTGTGTTCCAAAACCCTGTGGGTGGTACTAATGTGTAAGAATGTGTACATAAGCACAATAAACCCACAGCTCTGTCTGTTCAGTGCTTGACCCTCAACACGGAGCCTTGTCTCGTCTTTGGGGGGATTGACTGAATGCTGATAGAGACTGATTGCTAGGAGTGTAAGCCGCTTGGATGCTTTTCTTATTCGTCTGCAAGCAGCGATTCGTATGGTTCCTGTTCGTGTGTTTGGAGTGCTATATTGGATGCCGTTCGGGAGTTTGGAGCATTCACTTATTGGCGGTTCGTGTGTTTGATGTTCTACGATAGCTGTGCATGCATCTCTGGAAAGGGGGACGATCGCCTAAACGGTTTTTACCCCTTGTGTGCAAAACGGTCCGTTACACAGTATTATAAAACATATCACAGGGACTCCAAAACATGCAATAACCCCATATCCTTGGAACCGGGGGATCTGGGTGAACCACATATCCAAAATTCACCCAGATCCGTTCAGTACTTTGGAAGATACAGTTTAATGCAGATTCCGCAGAAAATATACAGGCTATATGAAAAATAATTACTGTATAATGTGTCCCCTGTTGTATAGTTTAAAACTACTGAACTATGTCTTCGTGCACCAAATACTGGCGAGATGGCACCGTGTAGAAAAGTCCAAACAGTGCCTATGAGTTAAAATGGCCGCCTATTATTGTTCTCACCATGTGCCTCTGATACATGAAATGTAACTCCACAGTATGTCCCCAGATGGTTCTTAAAGGGCCAGCAGCAGCATAATAAAATACAATATGCCCAAATACTGTATTTAAAGGGCCAAATCTCCCAGGGGCCATAGTCAGCAGGCAGGAGGCGGGCAAACAGGCTTCTCCAATGCCCAGTGGCGAGGTTGGTTTCGCCACAAGGAGTCTGGGAGCATCGTTAGCTGTGTCAGGGAATAGATGAGGCTGGGAGTGTGGCTCGCTGTGTTAGGGAATAGAGGAGGCTAGGAGAGCCGCTCGCTGTGTAAGGGAATAGAGGAGGCTGGGAGAGTTGCTCTCTGTGTCAGGGCACAGGGGTGTCTGGGAGCATCGTTAGCTGTGTCAGGGAATAGAGGAGGCTGGGAGCGTTGCTCGTTGTGTCAGGGAATAGATTAGGCATGGCTCACTGTGTAAGGGAATAGAGGAGTCTGGGAGCGTCACTCGCTGTGTTAGGGAACAGAGGAGGCTGGGATCGTCACTCGCTATGTCAGGGAATAGATGAGGTTGGGAGTGTGGCTCGCTGTGTTAGGGAATAGAGGAGTCTGGGAGAGTTGCTCGCTGTGTCAGGGAATAGAGGAGTCTGGGAGCATCGTTAGGAGTGTCAGGGAATAGAGGAGGCTGGGAGCGTCGCTCGCTGAGTCAGGGAATAGTGAAGGCTGGAAGCTTTGCTCATCGGTTGTATGATTTACAATCAGGGGGTGTAACAAGATATATTTATAAAAGTGCCAATTTTTTATGAAAATAGGACACACTTTTCACACAAAGCAGTTCAGCAAGCTAAGCTGTGTTAGGGATCTTGTGACTCTTTAATGCTTCAACAATTATTGATAATAAGAGCATGCACTCACCCCCTTTCCAAGACGCTTCTTAATGTCATATTTCTGAGAGATGTGATCTTCCACCTCAGGGACACTCATCTCGCAGATCTCATGCACAGAGCCTGCAGCCTGGATACAAAATCAATACAGCAAACTGAATACAAGGAATGCAGCATACCTCCCAAGTGCCCCTATCTAGGATGGTCAGTCCCTATGATAGGCTCAAACCCAATGTCCCTCTTTCCTAGGAGCTCCATATTGTTGTTGTGTCTGATTACTCCCAGTAATGTGTATAGCAGAGCTCCACAGCAATAATACTCCCAGTAATGTATCTGAGTGTATAACAGAGCTCCACAGCAATAATACTCCCAGTAATGTGTCTGAGTGTATAACAGAGCTCCACAGCAATAATACTCCCAGTAATGTGTCTGTGTATAACAGAGCTCCACAGCAATAATACTCCCAGTAATGTGTCTGAGTGTATAACAGAGCTCCACAGCAATAATACTCCCAGTAATGTGTCTGAGTGTATAACAGAGCTCCACAGCAATAATACTCCCAGTAATGTGTCTGAGTGTATAACAGAGCTCCACAGCAATAATACTCCCAGTAATGTGTCTGAGTGTATAACAGAGCTCCACAGTAATAATACTCCCAGTAATGTGTCTGAGTGTATAACAGAGCTCCACAGTAATAATATTCCCAGTAATGTGTCTGAGTGTATAACAGAGTTCCACAGCAATAATACTCCCAGTAATGTGTCTGAGTGTATAACAGAGCCACACAGCAATAATACTCCCAGTAATGTGTCTGAGTGTATAACAGAGCTCCACAGCAATAATACTCCCAGTAATGTGTCTGAGTGTATAGCAGAGCTCCACAGCAATAATACTCCCAAGTAATGTGTCTGAGTGTATAACAGAGCTCCACAGCAATAATACTCCCAGTAATGTGTCTGAGTGTATAACAGAGCTCCACAGCAATAATACTTCCAGTAATGTGTGAGTGTATAACAGAGCTCCACAGCAATAATACTCCTAGTAATGTGTCTGAGTGTATAACAGAGCTCCACAGTAATAATACTCCCAGTAATGTGTCTGAGTGTATAACAGAGCTCCACAGCAATAATACTTCCAGTAATGTGTGAATGTATAACAGAGCTCCACAGCAATAATACTCCCAGTAATGTGTCTGAGTGTATAACAGAGCCCCACAGCAATAATACTCCCAGTAATGTGTCTGAGTGTATAACAGAGCTCCACAGCAATAATACTCCCAGTAATGTGTCTGAGTGTATAACAGAGCCCACAGCAATAATACTCCCAGTAATGTGTCTGAGTGTATAACAGAGCTCCACAGCAATAATACTCCCAGTAATGTGTCTGAGTGTATAACAGAGCTCCACAGCAATAATACTCCCAGTAATGTGTCTGAGTGTATAACAGAGCCCCACAGCAATAATACTCCCAATAATGTGTCTGAGTGTATAACAGAGCCCCACAGTAATAATACTCCCAGTAATGTGTGAGTGTATAACAGAGCTCCACAGTAATAATACTCCCAGTAATGTGTCTGAGTGTATAACAGAGCTCCACAGTAATAATACTCCCAGTAATGTGTCTGAGTGTATAACAGAGCTCCCCAGCAATAATACTCCTAGTAATGTGTCTGAGTGTATAACAGAGCTCCACAGTAATAATACTCCCAGTAATGTGTCTGAGTATATCACAGAGCTCCAGAGCAATTGAAAACAATCATTTAAATGGGGATTTAAATCCCCACAATTCCAATGTGGAATCAACTTCACCAGTGGCTCTCATCTATCAATCTCAGCCCACCTTAAAGGACCACTTTAGGCACCCAGACCACTTCAGCTTAATGAAGTGGTCTGGGTACCTGGTCCAGCTAGGGTTAACCCATTTTTTAATAAACATAGCAGTTTCAGAGAAACTGCTATGTTTATGAATGGGTTAAGCCTTCCCCTATTTCCTCTAGTAGCTGTCTCATTGACAGCCACTAGAGGCGCTTGCGTGCTTCTCACTGTGATTTTCACAGTGAGAGCACGCCAGCGTCCATAGGAAAGCATTGTAAATGCTTTCCTATGCGACCGGCTGAATGCGCGCGCAGCGCTTGCGCATTCAGCCAAGGAAGAGGAACGGAGGAGGAGAGGAGGCAGAGAGCTCTCCGCCCAACGCTGGAAAAAGGTAAGTTTTAACACCTTTCTCCCTTCCAGAGCCGGGCGGGAGGGCTCCTAACCTTGCCTTATTTGCATTGTGTATCCTGACTTCTAGCATCCTCTGACTTTGCTTACCCTTGACGATTCTCCTGCTTGTGTCCTTACCTGTACTGGGACTTGGAGCAATATTCTGCACAGCCCCCGTGCACAGACTCACAGGCCAGGTGAATTCTTCCCTGACCACATTGGCCTGTGTTTAATTGCAAGGGTGAGCATAATCTCTGCCTACCGGACTCCCAAATAAGGTAAGCCATGACAGAATGAACTGACCATTATGGAGTCCACAGAGATGTTCAAATTGCTTACCCACCAAGTGTCCAGCCTGGCCCAGACTGTTTCGAAGCTACACCAGGCCCTGACAGTCCACTGCCACGCTGAGACTGCCATCATCAGGCTCTCCGGCTCCTGGTTTCCAAACCACCACCAATGACAGGATCAGCATGACGGAAAATTTCTGTCATGCATCCTTAAGGGGTTAAAGAGGTTTGAATGCAGCAAAATGAACACAGAATAAATACTGTGTAGTGTTTACTGTGAATTACCCGGCCTGGATCCATTCTCTCTGTGTGCTAATCTAGTTCCTTTCTGCATTGCATATAGAAGGTAGGTGTGCACGTGAATCCATTCAACAAAACAAAACATAGTTCCCTGGTTACAATCCCAAATTTCTTTGCACATTTAAAGAACAGGGAGTTTTTAGTTCCACTCCAATGGTGATTTAAAGTGTGAGCTCACTTGCAAATCCTGAGATAATACACCAGCTGCTTTCAGATAAATGGTAATCTAATAAAATGGGATGTGGTATTCTAATAGAGTTGTCTATTTATCGTATGTGTGTGAAAGTGATTACATTTCCTATTGGTGGTTTATCTATCCCTGCTCAAATATACATTCCAAGATTGTGTGTATAATTTCTCTCTCTCGCTCTCTGTCTCTGTCTGTCTCTCTCTCTGTGTCTGTCTGTCTCTCTCTCTCTGTCTCTCTGTCTGGGTTTGTCTCTGTCTGTCTGTGTCTCTCTCTCTGTCTGGGTTTCTCTCTCTCTTTATCTCTGTGTCTGTCTCTCTCTGTGTCTGTCTCTCTGTCTGGGTTTGTCTCTCTCTCTGTCTGGGTTTATCTCTCTAGCTCGCTCTCTCTCTCTCTCTCTCTGTGTTTCTCTCTCTATCTCTGTCTGTCTCTCTCTCTGTGTCTGTCTCTCTCTCTCTCTCTGTGTCTGTCTATCTGGCTCTCTCTGTCTGTCTCTCTCTGTGTCTGTCTCTCTCTCTCTCTGTGTCTGTCTCTCTCTCTCTCTGTGTCTCTCTCTCTCGCTATCTCTCTCTCTCTCGCTATCTCTCTCGCTATCTCTCTCTCTGTCTCTCTCTGTGTCTGTCTCTCTATCTATCTCTCTCTCTCTGTCTGTTTCTCTCTCTATCTCTCTGTGTCTCTGTCTGGGTTTCTCTCTCTCTGTCTCTCTCTCTCTTTCTCTCTGTCTGTCTCTCTGTGTCTGTCTCTCTGTCTGGGTTTGTCTCTGTGACAGAACCATCTGTCTGCTGGATTTTTGCCCGTTCGTCTGTTTGTCCCCGTTCGTATGAATGGCTGGTTTCTATAGCCCAGCCATTCGAATGACTCTTTTTCCCGAACAAAACCGCCGAACGAACGGCCACCCAAGTGAGGAGTGTGCTGCAGGTTAACGAAGTGATCACCATTATAACGTTGTGGTTAACCGCAGACACTTCCCAATTAAACCGAACTCAGGGTGGTCGTCGTTCGTATGTCGACCACGAGGCAGCGGCCATTTTAAATCATGCGAACGCTCAGCGGTGTTTGGCTCTATTTCTATGGAACGGAAAACGGACACTTTTTCTGTCGAACACCGCTGAAACAAGGGAACGCCTGGCTGCCTCCACGAAAGCATGCGAACATCGGCCGTTCGGGAGATTGAGAACACACAAAAGACTTAACCCAGATAGCCAACCCATGGAGTCATTCGTGTACCGAAGGACTGTAAGAACTCTGACTCCATGGCGATTGAACTATGTGTGTGGGATCTGAGTGCTATTCGCCAATAATATGCACTCAGATCCAGGCTATCTGGGGACATGTAATACGAATGGGAAATGTTCAGTTTTCATGTAGTTATGCATTTTTGTGTCCTTTATTATTTCATGTTTAAGATGGCGACTGTCCTTGTCCTGGAGTTAATTGAGTTACTTGGTAATTAACTCCAGGACAGAGGGGAGGGAATCAGAATGTACTGTGGGTAAAATATGTGACTGTGTGTCAGAAATGTCCTGCTATCTGTCTGTACGTTAAGTCTTCCATTTGGTCCCCTAGGGGAGTGTCCACCAGGTGGGAGACCTGCATAAATACGGGCAGGTAGCCCACAGTAAACCCAGATCTTATTTGACCCTCAATGCGGAGCTTCTGTCTCGTTATTGGAGGGATTTCTTCTTCACGCTTAGAGACTGCTGGATGGAACGAAAGCCGCTTTGGGGATATTATTGTTCGACGGTTCCTAGCAGTTCGTATATTGCCGTTCGGGAGTTTGGAGCCGTTCGTGGATTTCGATCGGGAGATTGTCGCTTCCCCTGCATTTGGTTTGTGGGTTACAGAGTAAGCTAACAGAGACTGTACTGCAG